AGTAGGTATTTGTAGAGTTCCATCAGCACTGCACATTGCTGTCGCAGATCCATTCATTCTATAACCAGTATTACACGTGCAGTTCACACTCTGAAGATAGGACACCATTGTCTTGTCCGTATTGCCATTCATGAGTGTTGGCACTGTGCAATTCACAACTAGCAGAACAAGTACAAAAGAACAATGTGAAGAAGAGCAAAAGAAGTTTGGAAAAATGAACTGAAAACTACCCGCATGCTCTAGGCTCTTTGTCTGACATTGAACATTTTCTGTAGCTCGGTGATAAACGGATTTGAAAATTGGATGATACAGGCTTAGAGATGCTTGTATAACAGATCTTCCTACTCACTGTTACAGACGGGTCTCAGCTCCGTCAAAGTTCCAGTAGCACTGCAAGTTGCTTCTTCAGATCCATTTATACTATAACCAAGGTCACATGTGTAATTCACTTGTTGAAGGTATGACAGAACTCTCTTGTCACCACGGCCATGGGTGACAGTTGGCACAGTACAATTGACAACTAGAATCAGATGGCAACGAAAAATGAAGGGAACAGAGAAAACAAGCAGAAGAAGGCTAGAAGAAGAAGCTCGCCAGATTAAGCTAGGTTTCAACAGGTTCGATTGGCATCGAATGCACCCTACATGCAGTCGCGAGTCAGTCAAGTGTCAAGTCAGCCCATATGAATGTCAGTGTAAGTGTGCGCGCGCGTGTGCGTGTGTGTGTGTGTGTGTGTGTGTGTGTGCGTATGTGCGCACGTGTATGTGTATGTGTATGTGTGTGTGTGTGTGTGTGTGTGTGTGTGTGTGTGTGTGTGTGTGTGTGTGTGTGTGTGTGTGTGTGTGTGTGTAGACGAGACTGGTGCCTCATGTGCAATCGTTCCCGGCCGGCTGTGCTAAAGCCTATAGTGTTTATTTGCGGCTGTGGCAGGGTCTTCCGTCGACCTAATGATCTCACTCACGACGCGAATACTACAACTGCTAAATGCTATGATTCCATGGAGCAATGGGCATCCAAAGAGGTGTGTGTGTGTGTGTACGTGTGTGTGTGTGTGCGTGTGCGTGAGCGCGCGACTGTGTGCCTGTGTGTGTGTGTGTGTTTGTGTGTGTGTGTGTGTGTGTGAATCTGTGTTGGTGTGTGTTTTGCTTCAACCAATGTCTACTATCACTCGCCGAGTTACCAAACATAATATAGTGGCTTGTAAAATTTAACGGGAACCAGAAAGAATAATTCAATCGCCATGCGCAATTACAGTATTATAGATATGGATGGAGAGCCAAGGACTAATTTATAGAAAAGCAAAAGGACCAAGGAACTACAAGTTTTGCTATTATGTCCACTAATACCAACAGTTACTAAACAATCAGCTCAAACGATAACATTGCACGACGGTCCTGACGTTCTACTGCTACAAATTCCTACTTTATGTTTTCTTGCACTTACTGTTGCAAGTAGGCATTTGTAGAGTTCCATCAGCACTGCACATTGCTGTCGCAGATCCATTCATTCTATAACCAGTATTACACGTGTAATTCACACTCTGAAGATAGGACACCATTGTCTTGTCTGCATTGCCATTCATGAGTGTTGGCACTGTGCAATTCACAACTAGCAGAACAAGAACAAAAAGAACAATGTGAAGAAGAGCGAAAGAAGTTTGGAAAAATGAACTGAAAACTACCCGCATGCTCTAGGCTCTTTGTCTGACATTGAACATTTTCTGTAGCTCGGTGATAAACGGATTTGAAAATTGGATGATACAGTCTTAGAGATGCTTGTATAACAGATCTTCCAACTCACTGTTACAGACGGGTCTCAGCTCCGTCAAAGTTCCAGTAGCACTGCAAGTTGCTTCTTCAGATCCATTTACACTATAACCAAGGTCACATGTGTAATTCACATTTTGAAGGTATGACAGAACTCTCTTGTCACCACGGCCATGGGCGAAAGTTGGCACAGTACAATAATTATTGACAACTAGAAATGAGAGGACAGAGAGAGAGAGAGAGAGAGAGAGAGAGAGAGAGAGAGAGAGAGAGAGAGAGAGAGAGAGAGAGAGAGAGAGAGAGAGAGAGAGAGAGAGCAAAACAACAAGGGACAGAGAAAACAAGCACAATAGGTTTATGTTGAGTATGAATTGGAGAGGTTTCTTACTCACTAACACAACTGACTGGAATCGGGAACAGGTAGGTTGATGGGAACGACATTTATTATAGACGACGAGACAAGAGACCAAGACGAACGAAACGACTACTTCCTCCGTATACAAAAACTTCGTGACTTTTTTTGAACGGTGTTTTTGAGCAATAACCTGCTCTACGAACGGCGCCAAAGGCTGTCATCGACAACCCACATCCATGTCGAGGTTAGTTTGGTTGATCGCGAACAGATTCTCCACGGACGCCATGCGTGTGAGGACGTTGCCGACAAATGAAAAAAAATGACACTTACTTGCTCGAAACTGACACAGTGACGAAGTGTAGCTCGTGGCTGGAACACGGACTCATGCGGCACTCGCTGCCCTGAAACTGGCCAGGCTCGTACTTGCGGTGCGCGGCCCCATAGGCACAGATCTACTCAGCGTGAGAACATAGATTTGTTTCGCTCGCACGGCAAGATGAAACATTTCAGTCGTCGTGCAACCAGCGCAGACTCAGGATCAGAATGTCGATAGCCTGGCTTTCTTTGCCTCTCAGACTCTCCAGTCAGACGTCTCCTTTGTCGCCAAGGGGAATCGCAGGGACCTCCTCGAAGCCATTGTAGAATGCTTGGAAGGATTATCCTGGCGAGAATATGCGAAGCGTGTGGATGTGCTTGTACGACTCGTTTCACGGCATAATGGAGGTCGCGGGTTGGAACGACTGAATATAGTCGACACCGATTCGTACACAGCTCTAGAGATGAAGGGGACGTAGCCAAAGTCCAGCGTCGGACCATCACTGCAGGTGACAAGAATCTGAACGAAATGCGGGCAGAAGCAGCGACTGTTGGTGATGCGGAGTCAGCGTCGTCAGGTGACAATGACATGAGCGACGAAGACTCTGAAAAAACACAATCTCATTCGTCTGAGTTCCTTTTTTCCTTGTAGCTTGTAAACAGCTTAGACAATGCCACAAGTGTTATTCCGAGTCAAACGGAACCATTCCAGAACTGTGCGCAGCTTTCAAAAAAAATGTCACGAAGTTTTTGTATACGGAGGAAGTACATTGAAGAGTGACAAAGAGATTATGGAAGAGAGCGAGATTATTGAAGAGAGAGAGATCGACTGAGAAACAACGCAATATAAAGGGCCTGGGTAGCTATGGCAAACATGGGCGCGCAAGTAGCTACCCAGGCCAGCGAAACGAAATGTGACTATGATGTATTACGGGTGCATGCAGGCCGGCCAGCTTGGGAAAGGTTGTTGATAAGATTGTACGGGAGGAGGCACCTAATATTTATAAGAGACGGCTCGCAAAATTAGGCAATCCATCACAGATCAATAATTTGTTTCAACGGGTTGGACGGTAATCATATGCACCCTAGATGCAATCATGAGTCAGTCAAGTCACAAGTCAATCTTTGGCAAGCAAGGACCTCCATATTTGGACCAGCCACTTTCCTCAGAATTCGGTTTTGATACATGTTCCTCGTAGACGATAATGCTATCACACTTTGAAGCTTAACTCGGGTACTGAGCCAACAAGAAAAGTGAAGTAGAAGAAAACCACATTGAAAGGAGTTATGAAACAACTATCCATGACTGCAACAAGATCATAAGCAGCCAGAACGTGCGATAACAGGGCAGAAGACCGAGAGGTTACTGAAAGATTCAACCACCTGAGGCCAAACATGAAGTATGGCAAATATTTGAAGGAGGGGGGGGAAAGCACCAAACCTTTCTAATGGCTGATACTGATACTTGAAAAAATCTCAGATTTTGAGTTTTTTCCACTCCATACATAATTTTATTTTCATTCTTTTATTAGTTTGGTTAGACTCCCATGATAGGTATCCATTTACCTCTGGAGAATCCGTAAATAAACAAAACTGAACTAAACTGAACTTTGTATTTTTAGCAGTCGTTGGTAGCGGTAACCTCAATTTGAACTGTGATCTTCACATTTTAAACTATCATTTCCTGCACAGTGAAGCAAAGCATCTTGTTAAGCATCATTTGTGTGAGCCTTTCAGAGAGATATCTGAGCATCTACATAGGCGAGTATGTGTGTATGGTTGTGTGTGTGCATGCGTGCGTGTGTGGGTGGGTGCATGTGTGTGTGTGTGTGTGTGTGTGTGTGTGTGTGTATGTGTGTGTGCATACGTGCATGCGCCTGTGCGTGCATGTGTGTGTGTGTGTGTGTGTGTGCGCGCGTGTGTGTGTGTGTGTGTGTGTGTGTGTGTGTGTGTGTGTGTGTGTGTGTGTGTGTGCGTGTGTGTGTGTGCATTTGTGTTTGTGTGTGTGTGTGTGTGCGTGTGTGTGCGCGTGTGTGTGCGCGCGTGTGTGTGTGTGTGTGTGTGTGTGTGTATGTGTGTGTGTGTGTGTGTGTGTGTGTGTGTGTGTGTGTGTGTGTGTGTGTGTAGTATCCCTGCCTGGCTGATACGGAAGTAATACGGAAGCAATACGGAGCGACCTTATGTATATTAATTTTAGTGTATCTTCGCATATAAGCGTACGGCGTTTGCTGCATAAAAGCAGCTGCGCTTTTTCTGTTTTAATTAGATTAGATTAGATTAGATAGCAATGAAAGCTAACTCAAAGAAGAAGGATTCAACCTCTAGGTGAGCACCGGAGAGAAAGTTATTTATTTTGCCGCTTCTTCTTTCACTAACAATCATATCTCAGGTGTGTATCCTGAAAGTAGAATAAAAGTAAATCTTGTTGATTTCACCGCGCCTACCACTCGGCTACCCATTACATTGGTGGCAGCGGTGGTTCAATCAAATTTGTCAGATTCGAACTCACCTGTTTACGGAACTCGTCTTGTAACCCGCCTGGCCCTTAGTCAATCGTTGACGTGATGGCTCAACCAGCTGCTGTACCAGCCGCCGTTGCTGTACCAGCCGCCGCTGCTCCGGCGCCCGCCCGCCACGTGCACAACTGGGCCACCCCGGCCAAATACGCAGGTCGGCTAGATGACAACTGGTCGGCATGGTATGCCCAGTTTGAACAGGTTGCTGCGGTGAACCAGTGGACGCTGGCCGAGCAAACTCAATTCCTGGGGTTGTCCCTCACCGGGGACGCCCAGCTATTCTACCTGAGTCTCCCACAGGCGACCCGTCAAGGCGCTATCGCTAACCTTGCTCAGGCCCTAGAAGACCGTTTCGCTCCCGCTCAGCGTGCGGAACTACACCGGGCCGCCTTCAAAGCGTTGCGACAGGAGAAGGGACAGTCGGCCAGCGCTTACTGTGAGAAAGTAAGGGCGGCTGTCGCCCAATCCTATCCCGACATGGCCGCTGCGGACAGGGATGTACTTGCAAAGGACCAGTTTCTTGCTGGTCTCGACTCCAGGTCGATTCGTGTCAGGGTCCGGGAACTAGCTGCGAATACCCTGGATGCTGCCCTACTCGCCGCCCTTCACCAACATTCCATCCTGCAGGCTGAAGAGCAGGAAACACCACCTCTTCCCGTGTGCGGAGTCGCACAGGAAACGCAGCTAGAGGCAGTCGCTAAATCGCTGGAAGCCATCAGCGTTCGACTGGCTCGCCTCGAACAACGTGACGCCGGTCCAACCGCACTACCTCTCCACCAGCTACAACGCAGCCAGCTGCACCGCAGCCAGCCGAGGAGACCCATTACATGCTTCAATTGCGGTCGCTCTGGCCACTATGCCTCTGAGTGCCGCCAGCCCCGTCAGCCATCGGGAAACAGCCGTCCACAGCAGTCCTGAGTCCAACTGCTGTGCGTGATGCGCTTCGGACTCACCAGCCGGTTAGTTTACCAATAGGAGCCTATTTGCTCATTTGTATTCTCGCCATAGTGGGTTTACCCCCTGTCATTCATGCTGTTAGACGTATTGCTATGTTCGCTTGTATTGGGGTGCCAGTCCTAGCAGTTGCTTACCTACTCTTCTTAACACCATCGTTTGATGGTCTGAAGTCCCACATTGCTACATTCTTTCACCGCTCCTCCGTACACCGTCCATTCACAGTACCAGTTACTATTCAATCCATGCAGTTCAACGCTTTGCTTGACACGGGCTCGGCAGTGACATTAGTTAGCAACAAAGTTTGGTCAAGCTTGCCTGGGCGTACACCTCTAGTTAAACAGTCACTACCGGATTTGGCTACAATTGATGGGTCATCTATTCCTTTGCATGGATCTGCATGTTTAACTTTTTCCATTGATGATCGGCAAGTTTCTCACAATGTTCTGGTTGGTGATGTTCAGCCTGATGTTTTGTTGGGAGTTGATTTTTTCAGAACCCATGGTTGCGTTCTCAACCCTGCGGACAATTCACTCAAGTTCCCTACCAACTCTCCACCTCGTGCTGATGCCTGTAATAATGATACCAAGAGTGTTCACCACCAAGTTTGTCATGTCCAATTGACAATACCTGTCGCAATACCGCCTTTCAGCCAAGTACTTCTGCCTGGCAAGCTCCAATTCTCTCCAGCTCCGGGTGATTATCTTCTGGAAGCATCTGGTAAGCTGCCCGAGCGTTATGACCTCCTCTGTCAAGATGCTGCCATTCACGTGCAAGCGGATAATGATGATGCCCCTTCTGCTACGGTTGGCTATCCAGTTTTCAATTTCTCCGACCAGCCGATCACACTACCACAGGGTGTGCGGATTGGCTCCATCATGCCATGTGTTCCGGTCGACGACGATGATACCTCTGCGATATGTGCTGCTACTACAGTCCATTTCAAAACTATAGACGCGTACCTAGGCAAAAACCGTTATGCCAGCATCTATACCACATAAAATCTGTGATCACTTTGTGCATAATTTTTTTCCAAATTGGGCGTCTGTTATCTAATCCTTTAGAAACTATATGAGAGTAATTGTGGAGCGATTCTGAGCAATATTCCGAAAACTATTCTTAAAAGGTTCCAGCCAAATTTGAAATATTTCAAAAACCCTACGCGTCTATAGTTTTGAAATGCACTGTACACTTGCAGACGATGACTCTCGAGAACCGCAGCTCGATCTCAGTCACCTGGATAGTGCCGATCGCCGTTCCGTTCAAGACCTGATGAGTGAGTATGCTGACTGTGTTTCCACCGGCCCGTTTGACACTGGCCACACAGAGTTCGTCACGCACACCATCGACACCTCTGGCGCACCTCCTGTACGCATAGCACCGCGTCGTCTACCAATCCACCAGCAACAAGAGGTCAGGGAGCACACTGATAAGCTGCGTGATCATCACATTATCCGTCTGTCGAACAGTCCCTGGTCTGCACCTATTGTCGTTGTCCGGAAGCCTGACAACTCCATTCGCCTATGTGTGGACTACCGTCAGCTTAACAACATCACGGTAAAAGACGCCTTTCCAATGCCGCGTATTGATGATGCCATTGACGCCATGAGTGGTGCCCGCTACTTCACAACTATTGACCTCGCTTCTGGCTACTGGCAAGTCTGCATGGATAAAGATGCCCGGCGTAAGTCTGCCTTCGTCACTCCATTTGGCTTCTATGAGTGGACCTGCATGCCTTTCGGCTTATGCAATGCACCTGCTACGTTTCAGCGCCTGATGAATGCTGTTCTGGGAGATCTTATTCCATCCACGTGTCTTGTATATCTGGATGATATCATTGTCTTCTCAAGGATGTTCAAGGAACACCTCCAACGGTTACGTTCTGTCCTCGACCGTCTCCGTGAGGCCCGCCTCAAAGTGAAGCCGTCTAAATGCTCTCTAGTCAACTCATCTGTTGGATATCTTAGTCATGTGTTCTCTGCTGATGGTGTTCGCCCTGATCTCGCCAAAATTATGGCTGTTTCCACCTGGAAGCAACCTACGTCCATCACGGGTGTGCGCCAGTTCCTCGGCTTTGCATCATACTACAGGAGATTCATCCATGACTTTGCTAAGATTGCGACACCTCTGCATGCGCTAACAAGGAAGCACTCAACATTCGCCTGGCCACCCGAGGCACAGAATGCCTTCGATCAGCTCCGCCAACACCTCAGCTCAGCACCCGTCCTTGCCTATCCTGATGCCAATAAGTCCTTCATTCTGGATACAGATGCTAGTGATCATGCCATTGGTGCGGTCCTTTCACAAATCGGCTCCGATGGTGCAGAACATCCCATCGCCTATGCAAGTAAGACACCGTCCTCTGGTCAACGTAATTACACAACGACAAAGCGTGAGTTACTGGCTGTTATTGAATTCACTCACTATTTCCGTCACTACTTGCTCGGCGCCACATTCCTACTCCGCACTGATCACAAAGCACTCCTTTGGCTATCTTCATTCAAGAATCCGGATGGCATTGTTGCACGCTGGATAGAACGGTTATCAGCGTTTGACTATGAAACTCGGCATCGCCCTGGCTCTCAGCATGTCAACGCCGATAGTTTGTCAAGATTGTGTGGACATGTGTGTTCTTCCCCTGCTGCCAAGAGTATGTGTCTGCCGCCTGCTGCATCTGCTGCTGTGAGTTCATGCGGTGTCTCTCTGTCCACAGGCGAGCTCGACCAATGCACTCGTGAGCCTGCTCCGTCAGCGTCCTGGCTGCCGTCTACCTCCCTCCGCACTAGCGAAGCTGTGGATCCCTCGATTTCTCTAGTGATGAAGTGGGTGAGGTCACAGCAACGACCACCTAAGGGATCAGATGAGTTAGCTGCTGTTCATCCTGATGTGCACCGACTCTGGACGCAGTTCAATCGTCTCATTGTCCAAGATGGTGTTCTCTACCGAAGGTATGAGTCGACTGATGATCTGTCCTCGTATCTTCAATTGGTCCTGCCTGCGTCACAACGTCCTACTGTTGTCAGATCGCTGCATGCCGGTATTGGATCGGGTCATCTTGGCGTCGACCGCACCATCGACAAGGCCCGTACACGGTTCTACTGGCCCCACATGGCTGATGACATCGAACAGTGTGTTAGAACCTGCCCGGAGTGCCAAAAACGGAAAGCACCTCAGCCCAAACCGAAAGCACCTCTGCAATCGCAAACATCATCCTATCCAAGCCAGCGTGTCGCCATGGACATCATGGGCCCCCTTCCTATCACTGATCGAGGAAATCGGTACGTATTAGTCATAATGGATTACTTCTCCAAGTGGGTTGAGATTTTCCCCATGCCCAACATGCTCGCCTCTACTGTCGCTGGTTTGTTCTTCAATGGTTGGATCTGTCGCTATGGTGCACCCGCTGCCTTGCACACTGATCAAGGTTCCCAGTTTGAGAGTCGCTTGTTTCAAAGCCTATGCACTATGCTTGATATCACCAAGACCAGAACCACACCCTACCACCCACAAAGTGATGGCATGGTTGAAAGATTCAACCGGACACTAGAAGCTATGATTGCAACATCCATCTCTGATCACCGAGACTGGGACTTGCATCTCCAACCCACGGCACTAGCATACCGCACTAGTGTACATGCATCGACTGGCTATTCTCCATTCCGCCTCCAGTTTGGTTATGATCCGGTTCTGCCTCTCGATGTGATGTATGGTTTACCCCGTAACTCACCACCACCATCTTACCCTGAATTCGTCTCTTCTATTCGTACTTCAACTGAGGCTGCCTTTGAGCGCGCCCGCCAGCACGGCCTTAAATCACACCAGCACCAGAAGAAGGGTTACGATGGTACATCTCGCCCGCCACCGAAGCTCACGAAGGATCAGCTTGTTCTCCTACATTCACCAGTGGTCCCTCAGAATGAGTCCCCCAAGTTTCACCGATTCTGGACAGGACCATATGTCATCCAGAAGGTGATCGATGATGTCACAGTCCGCATTCGTTCATTGTCGGATCGCCAGAGGCTTTCAGTTGTTCACGTAAATCGCCTGAAGCCATATCATCAAGTAACCGACGTAGATTTACGTCCTGCAACACCACCGACATACGATCCCGAGATACACACCACCCCGGCACATACACCACTACCGCAACTCCCACCCCCCGCTCCGCCTCCTCCTCAAATCCAACCCCCCGCTCCGCCTCCTCCTGCACTTCCGTACAATCTCCGGCCCAGACAGAACATTCACCCACCTGCCTACTTTTGAAAATCACGAGGGCGTGATTATCTGTAGGAAGGGAGGGTGTAGTAACTGTTATCCCTGCCTGGCTGATACGGAAGTAATACGGAAGCAATACGGAGCGACCTTATGTATATTAATTTTAGTGTATCTTCGCATATAAGCGTACGGCGTTTGCTGCATAAAAGCAGCTGCGCTTTTTCTGTTTTAATTAGATTAGATTAGATTAGATAGCAATGAAAGCTAACTCAAAGAAGAAGGATTCAACCTCTAGGTGAGCACCGGAGAGAAAGTTATTTATTTTGCCGCTTCTTCTTTCACTAACAATTATATCTCAGGTGTGTACCTGAAAGTAGAATAAAAGTAAATCTTGTTGATTTCACCGCGCCTACCACTCGGCTACCCATTATATGTGTGTGTGTGCATGTGTGTGTGTGTGCACCCCAATTGCTACCTACACTGTGAGCATCTGTGTCACCAAGAATATAGTTAGGTTTGTGTCACCAAGAATATAGTTAGGTTTGTGTCACCAAGAATATAGTTAGGTTTGTGTCACCAAGAATATAGTTAGGTTTGTGTCACCAAGAATATAGTTAGGTTTGTGTCACCAAGAATATAGTTAGGTTTGTGTCACCAAGAATATAGCTAGTTCTGTAAATGTAAAGGGGACAGTAGTAACAATTCTCAGATTATGCTTAAAACTACGTCATAGTTTACATTGTTTGCACTTACTGTTGCAAGTAGGCATTTGTAGAGTTCCATCAGCACTGCACGTTGCTGTTGCAGATCCATTCATTCTATAACCAGTATTACACGTGTAATTCACACTCTGAAGATAGGACACCATTGTCTTGTCTGCATTACCATTCCTGAGTGTTGGCACTGTGCAATTCACAACTAGCAGAACAAGAACACAGTAAGGCATGGACACAAGGATGTGCAAACTGCTTCTTTGTAAACGTTCAACACGCCCACGAAGAACGGTGTTGCTGGATTTTACATCGTTCTTAGAACAAGGTTATTAAAAAAAAGGAGGGTTTGTCAACTGACAACCGCTCTATTTAGTTTATATTCACTCCTGGCGCATGCGCTGGCTGAAAATTCTTTTATTAGTGATGTCGGAAAAATTATTGATATTTCGGGCCAGTCACCCATCGTCAGAAGGTTATTGTATAGAGTAACTGTGTCCGCTAATGGCTGATAATGAAGAAGACGCCGAAGAGACAGTAAACAGAAAAGGAACTTGATATAAAGATACATGGAAGTAGCAAATTTACACAGTGCCCTATGACATTGCTACTCTACGTGGAATGTGAACTCAGAGGGCTTATATTGGGTGGTAGCAAAGTGTGTGTGGACAAGAGAGATAAAACATCTCGGACTGGATACAGTATGAATGGCAGCCGGGAGTGAGTTCCATGTGGCAGTGGTGACAAAGAGAAAGGTGGCATGGGTATGTGTGCTGGCTTAGAGACGTCGTGACGACAGATAAATGAAAGAGCAATGTTCTAACAACTTACTGTTGCAGATAGGCTTCGGCTCTGTCAAAGTTCCAGTAGCACTGCAAGTGGCTGTTACTGATCCATTTACACTATAACCAGTGTCACATGTGTAGTTCACTTGTTGAAGGTATGACAGAACTCTCTTGCCACCACGGCCATGGGCGACCGTTGGCGCAGTACAATTGACAACTGGAAATGAGATGAAAGAGAAACGTAACAGGAGAAGAATGTAGCATAAAAACAGGATGCCGGATTTTGTCATCTTGCTTTGAGTTTTTGGCTCCGAGAATTTTTTACTGATCTAAAATATAACCATCCTGCAGACAGAACAGAATATAATCATTTTGCGCTGCGCTGATTATAATAAAGCCGAATAGGAGAATAAAAACCAAATTTTCAAAGTCATGCCCAAATGCAAATTCCAAACAGGCAAGCGGTTAAAGTAATCAACGGATTTGTAGTAGCGTGTTAGTTCTCCGACGCCCTCTCCCTCTTGGTTAAGAAGGCTCCAACCTACTGCGCTGCACAGCCAATCTGGTGGTCTGTTTTTCGCAGCCAAAAGTAATGTTTTTGCTGATAAGTGCGCACTCCAACAACCCTCCAACTTGGAAGGTCATTAGTTCTATGAAACGTAGGTGGGGAAGGCGAGTGCAACCAAGACACAACAAACACGTGCTAGAGCTGAGTTCCCAGTTAGTGGTAGAACACCAGTAGCTTCGGTCAGTTTTGTTAAATGTTATCGCATGAGCTGTTTGTCCAGTAACTAGTGGTGTTAGTGGACAATATAGAGTAACTTGTAGTTCCTTGGCACTTTTCTTTACTATAAATATTTGACATGTCAATTTAAATTATCCTAAATAGTATCACCTCCGACGAGTCTTTCGTAGGCAAAACAACTGCCAGAAGGAATAATTTCAGTACCAATGCTTGAAGTACCAGTACGGCCGTATCCCTTTCGTCAAATTATTGGTGTGTGTAATGGATACTAAGGGTAGTTGGTTGAGAGCGCACGGAGGAGACGAGGAGGAGAGATTGCCGCACTGTTGAACAGCCGAATGCCACCGTTCAAAATGTTTAGTTCGGTACCAGTTGAGCAACATCTGGCAGTTTTGGATCAGCACTTCCACTGCCGGCGGCCTGGGAACACACCTCGTTGAGTATGCCATGTTTCGACGCATTGCTTCAACCGATGTCAACTAAGAATCTCGGACTTACGCAGTACCGTAAATCTCCCCAGAACACCTCTACCTCCTCGTCGCTTCGAGTAAGTTCATGTGGGGAGGGGTGGATGGGCGAGTCCTACTTGCTGCATTCAGTACTCTTGGCACTACACGAAAAAGTAATCACTCTCAGGGGCGTAGCAGCCGCTCCGGCCGATCCGGCTTTGGCCAGACCACTTTTTCGCCCGACCACGACCACCATAGTAAGACAATGCCAAAAGTGCCCAGAATGCAGGATTTTGCACCCTAATTTCAAAAAAATACAGGGGGGACATCCCCCCCCCTGGCCTGCCCACCGCCAATGGCGGCGCTAAGCGCCTGGCCCTACCAAAACTGTTCGTGCATCTGGTACACCCACCAAAGGTCAAGAGCGAGGAGTCGTACAGAGACGTCAAAACTGAGGGTTTGTGCGTTCTCTGATCAAGAGGGTGGGCACTGGTGCGTACATTTCCAACAAGGTCGAGCACACGTCTGTAGTAGGGTACGGCATCACAGAGTCATACAAGGATTCAATCAATCACTTTCCTGACAAGAAGTCAGGGAGGGGCGGATGGGAGAAACGGGCGCTCTGACGGGATTTTTACGGAATCTGCACAGGTCCGTGAATGGCAAGGAGGTGAAAAGAACAATTCTCTCATCATGCACCATGCTTTTGTGCATAGTTTATACCATTTGCACTTACTATTGCAAGTAGGCATTTGTAGAGTTCCACCAGCACTGCACATTGCTGTTGCAGATCCATTCATTCTATAACCAGTATTACAGATGTAGTTTATACTCTGAGGATAGGACACCATTGTCTTGTCTGCATTGCCATTCATGAGTGCTGGCACTGTGCAATTTACAACTAGCAGAAGAAAACAAATATAACAAAAAGACTAGCAGTGGTGACGATTCCTGCGGCTTCACATATAGGAAGTGATTTTGTGCAGATTTGCTCTTCACCATTCACTTTTCAACAGTAATGGAAGAAGTTAATCAATGCTTTCAACAGAACGACGTTTGAATAAAAAGAACCGAAAACCTGTCAATTCTAACACAATTTTGGTGAGGAGAAAGAACCCTGCTGAAACCGGCTGGTGGTACATCGATGACGCGCAGCTAGGGCCCATAAGCAGTCCACTTGTGTTGTGTTTGTCGATATGTCAAAAGCATTTGATAAGGTTCGCCACCAAACGCTGCTAGATGATCTTCACGGAAAGGATATACGTGGCACTGCTCTGACCTGATTTGTCAGCTATTTGTCGGGTCGGAAACAACGCGTTTAAGTTGGTTCTTTATCGTCATGCTACTCGGAGGGTTCAAGTGTTGTACCTCAAGGTAGCGTTCTCGGGCCGTTTCTTTTTCTGTTTACATCAGTTCCATCGACTCTCATCTACCGCCTGGTATTTGTCACCAAGAATTCGCCGATGATATCACCTTAGATGCATCATCATCCAGCCGTGCAGCCACCAGCTCTAAGCTTAGTGTCGCAGAGAGTTGACAGAAGCCTGCCCTGCGACAGGTCAGCAGATGCGGAACAAGACAGTGGAGTCCACCAAAGCTGCAACGACAATTGGAACAACTCAGTGTTGTGCAGTCATGCAGTCACTGTAACTGCGAGTGATTTTCACTTTGCGCGGGACTGGACTCAAAATCGACCAGGGAGTCATAGAATTATACTGCCATGTTCTGCCATGTGAACGGAGTACGGCGTTCGTTAGTGCAAACGAGCTGGCCGCTGAAATGAGCCGAGTTTCTGGCGAGCGAGCTAACGAGTACCCGGTGAGATAGTTTCAACACTAATGGAAACCCACCACCACGGTTTTGATCTTAGACGATCTTCACGTTTTGTTTTATGTTGCTCTCTTGAGCTCATAGAGCTCAGGAGTGGAAAAAGGGAATTTCCCAACTCTGACGTATCCGGTGTTCCTGCTTATCAAGTCAGCTCAATACCCAATAGTTACAGTCCATTCAATGGGTACAGTCCCGCTGGCTTTTGAAAGTCCGATTTGGGCCGATTTGAGGATCAAAAACCCAATTCAAATCTGGGTTTGGGATCTGCTTCTCCACACTTTTTGCCATGGCATACCTATCCTCATTTTGTAAAACCAGGCTGAATTTCTATTTCCCTGTTCTTGGACTTTTCTGGCCTCAAATGTGGCAAGCAGTATTTCTAAGGGACACACAATGCAGAATGTGCTTTTGTTTTCAGCAACTTTTCACGATATCTACACCTACGTGTGGGAGAAACCAAAAAGTTAGGGTGCCAGTTTCCAATGAGTGGACTGTTGTTCCCGAGCTTGGTCCGCTTGCCACCTTAACACACCTCTCTGTGGATATCTGTGCGCTTTGTGTGGCCAAGCAAGCATGTCTCCACCGCCATTTCTCCTGTTCCTGTAAGAGTTGAAAGTGTGACGTGTCTAAACATTTCCCATTTAGCCTCTACAAAGTTTAACGGCCCAGCAATCACGCACCTGTCTTCTATTTCTCCTGTACTGAGGAGAGAAGGAATAACATTCGAGTAATGTTTCTTATGGTGACGATGGATTCTTTCGCGTTAAAAGGTTGGCACGCTTTAGAGATTCAACTATTACAGTATGTCGTCACAGCCTTATTAATCGATTCATGGCTTCTTGACTGCGCTCACGACTCTTTGACCGGTTCCTGTTAGTACTACAAAGAGTGTAAGGGCAAAGTATGCCAAAGCTTAATCAAGCGATACTGACCAATGATGGACTGCGCAAGTCTGCCAAAACCTCAAGATACCTTGGTATACTGGGGAACACCACCCGGAAATACTTGCAAAGCTGAGGGAGGTGGGACACGACAAGTTCTTCCCCAACCCTGAGGAGATGGAGCCAGCAGACGACACGCTATCTGGCCTCCAGACGGCTGTTTCGGACCTGAAAAGGCAAGTCGAGCTTTAAACGGATTTCATGCTCAATAAACCTGCAGAAACAACGAATTGCCCTTCTTGCAAGCCAAGTGTTGTTGATGAAGGCATCGCAAATGCCTTCCCTGAGCTTGCTGCATTGGGTTTACGACAACAAACACTTTCTGTACGAGATACACACGTAGATCTACAGGGTTCATGCACACAGAAGCAAACCTATCCTCAGCTCGCCCAAACTGGGCCACAAGCCAGGCGATCAGATTCTGCTGAACGACTCGTACCCACAACCCTTCCAGCTTCAACCTACGCACAGCACGCTGGACGTGCCCCACGTTCCATGTACAACCAAGTCGCACGTGGCGAACACAACAATCCTATGCAGTACAACATCCTACAGCAACAAGCCAAAGCCAGGGGAAAAAAAAAGAAGCAGCAGGAATTGCACAGTGCAAAGCCTATGAAAAGAGCACTTTGACGTTCTTTCTGTAGACCGACTACGTTTTTAGTCATGTAATTACGTTATGCGGAACCTCTCTAATGAGATGAAAGCGCACTCTATTGTGATGGCTTACCAAGTGTGGGTGGGTAATGGCAGGTTGTTGCAGTTGTGCACACACCGATTCCATGGCACTCTTTGCTGCCATCAGAATCGACCGAACACTGCCTGGTGACTCGAGACTTGTCCACGCAGCGTTGCTTGTGGCACACGAGGTCCTTGTTAGCACCGCTGGCATCACAGAGTGTTCCGTCATTCACGAGTGATGGGTTGTCATGGCTTTTTGGTGGAGATGCAAAGAAACCTCTGCATTTGTCAACACCTCGTACTATATAGGTTCTGTATTTAACATAACTAAGGACTGGGACAGTTTTCAGACCTGGGCGGCAAAACAAAGTACCACAGAGGGCATCTACTGCTGCACAGGGCATATAGTTTGCTGCGGAGGAGGAAGTGGACAAGTTGAAACCACAGTTGCCAGTATCTAATCCAACTGTGTTAATGACTGTGAAGCAATTCCGAGCAGCTTGTCCTTGAGCTGAATCGTTCCAGGCCCTCTGACACTGGCTCGATAATGATTGGCAAACTCCACTCCAGCAGTATGCTTGACTATTGGAGCAAGGCCAGCCATTGCGAGCGGTCAGGTCCTCTGGACATGTGGCATTCTCGCCGTCGCAGTACTCTGGCACATCGCATTCGCTGGTGGCGGCGCGGCAGACGTGATCCCGGCGTGTCACGATGCGCTTGTTCAGGCAACACGGGTCCGTGTCCGCACACCCTGCATTAAACCAACACACACAACAACATTGGTCAGTATGCCAGAGAATGGCACAGCGGCGAGAAATCAGTCTCCGCACCTCCCGAAGAAGAACATTTCTGAAGTAGAAGTCGCACTTTTAAGGGGAAGTTAAGGGAAAAATCAAAATTTCACCAGTTGTAGTCTTCGGGGTGCTGAGTCGAATGGTCTTGGTCCGTGAAAGCTGAGACGCTCCCTTCCTACTTAATTCCCAATTGAACTCGCGCACTACCACCGAAACTGGGTGACTGCGCCCTACTAGATGGGGATTTGTGTGCAAATTGTCACTAAAAGCGCCATTTCGTTCTTATAAAAGCACGGACGACCGCAATTGGCCCTTATGTTGTAGTCTTTTGGATGCTGAGTCGACCGGTTTTGGTCCGAAAAGGCTGCTATGCAGCGTTCCTCCTTTATTCCCAATCGAACATGGTTGAACAAGCGGTCACGTGCTCCTGGGTGCCCAAATCACCTGGTCACCACGCCAGCAGACGACAACTTTCACACCAAGGTTCAACTCGAGTTCAACTCGAGTGACAGGGCTGCACCCAAAAAAGGTCAAACAGGCTAGTAAGTTGTACCCTGCAGGCACGGTGACCAGGTGACTGGCGTCCGCAGGAGCACGTGACCGCTTGTTCAACCATGTTCGATTGAGAATAAAGGAGGAACGCTGCATCGCAGCCTTTTCGGACCAAAACCAGTCGACTCAGCATCCAAAAGACTACAACATATGGGCCAATCGCGGTCATCCGTGCTTTTACAAGAACGAAATGGCGCTTTTAGTGACATTCTCCTCAGCTTCTTCTTCATAAGCTGTTGACGGAGACTCCCTCGATTTAGGCTAAGGCCTGTGGAGAATCCATAAATACAAATACAAATCTTGCATACAAATCCATATCTAATAGGACGCAGTCACCCAGTTTCGGTGGAAGTGCGCTAGTTCGATTGGGATTCAAGTAGGAAGGGAGCGTCTCAGCTTTAACGGACCAAGACCTTTCGACTCAGCACCCCGAAGACTACAACTTTTGAAATTTTGATTTTTGTCTTAAATTCCCCTTTAAACATCAGTAATTCACCAAAAATACGTCAGTGCAGCTTATGCTGTGACTGTGAAATTAACTGTGATAGACCGGGTAAATGTCCGCATCTCGAGACCAAAACAAATCTAGGTGCGCCATCTACTCTGGGAAATATGGTAAGTGTCCTTCAAGTGGAATACCCTGAGCTATGTGATAGGTCAAGTGTCCTTCAAGGGGAATACCCTGAGTTAAGTGATAGGTCAAGTGTCCTTCAAGGGGAATACCCTGAGCAAAGTTATAGGTCACGCCAAGAGTACATAACCAAGAGTGTGCAACTCCTATCTTGAGCTGCGAGGGGTTCACCCACGGCGGATTTTTTATTGCGTCATTCTTGGGCAGAAGTATGATGAAGTGGGTATGCTTTCCCGCGCTTGTTTTGTAGATACGGTGAGAGTTCGTCAGGTTCAAGAAACATCGATATATTGTCCGTTGTTCTGCTTCGACTACCGTAGCTGTGAGGTACAAATTCTTTGTACTTTGATCTCTGGCTACGCATGATGGCATCAGCGAGCCAAACAGCGGCCAAAGACTGATGTCATAAAAAAATCCGCCATGGGCTGGGGAATCGTCGAGTTGCACACTCTTGGTTATGTACTATTGGGCACGCACATAGCAACGACTTCAATTCCGTGACAAAAAGGCAGAAATCCTTTTGTCATACTTCCTCCGTTAACAAAAGCTTCGTGATGGATTTTGATGGATATGAAAACGCTTTGAACAGGTCAAGAACAGTTTGTATCGACTGCAAATCACTGGACGAAGGTGATTCAGCATATGTACAGCGTCTTTACAAGAGAAACTGTTGGCGGAATGAGCAGAGAGTTCAGTTTGCGTCGCTTTCACTTGACTCATTTTTGACCCTGCGTCGCTGTCGTCATCTGCTGCACGTGAGTCGTCATCTGCTGCACGCGAGTCGTTATCTCTCTCGAATCATTGTTCAGCTCGTCTCAGCCTTGGCTCGGCTTCTTTGATCACACTCCACTGACCTTGATGTCGCCGTCGTTCAAGTAAGTAGTTGGCTTTCGAGCTGCGTGATCCGCCGCGATGGCGATTCCTCGTTTCCACCAGGGGGCCGTAAAAAATATTTTACTACTCCCTGGTTTCATCTTCGCTCTCCAGAACTCCGCGAAACAAGGAGTAAAGGCACAGCCAAACTGATTCAATTTTCTCTGATGGATACCCCTGCCAGCACTGAACGGCAGCGGCTAGCAAGTCCAGTCGACTTTCTTTAGCCACGAGACTTGCATCAGACTGCAGACTTCTGAAAGAATACATGGTCATCAGCATTCGAATCTGGGCTTTGCGCAGGTTGAACAAGAACTTGAGCTCAGAATTATTTTCATTGAGCCGTGCGATCGGACCAGCTCCTTGTTCACTCGCTCATTGTGTGGACTCGCTGCTCCGTTTGATCGCTCTTTATCACTCTCCAACTTACTCAGTGCTAGAGTAGTAGAGAGGCTTAGCAACGCAATATCCCCTCGGAGCAGTGGTATTTCAGTTTCGCTCGCCATAACTGTCATCACCTATGTTTCCACAGCGCAACCATCGATTCCGCTCGGCTTGTTGTGAAAGGTCGCTTTCCTTGAATCGTACCTCTTTCATGGCCCCCAGGGAAGGCCAAGAAAGTGACTGCGACTCATTTCACGGCAGTTTGTGCGCAAACCAGCCCCTCAAAAATCCATCACGAAGTTTTTGTTAACGAAGGAAGTACTAGTTTCTGGCGTGGTGGTTTCTTGCAGGTTTGCCGAGTGAGTGGCCCAGTATTCTTCTCGCGTGCTCCAGACTGCAGTCGTAAGTCAGTCAAGTGTCAGTCAATCAGCAGGAAGCGCGAGCTCCGACCATTGGAGCAAGCGTCTTCCTCTAAAATCAAATGAACAAGGACAATGGATTTAAGTTTTTTTACCAGAAACCACTTTCAAGCTGATGTTGATGAGCCTGAAGTGTGTCCTTTTTCTCAGCATTATCAGTAATTATAATATATATTATCTTACCCTTGCATCCAATCAGCAACAGAGGACTGAAGAGAAGCAAGCAGCTAATCAGGACACCTTCACACAAGCACAAACAAGAAGAAATTGGGAAAATTGCACTGGACTCCTATGTCAACTAGAGTCATATGATTGAGAATATTGGCAACCAGTTGTCAAATTACCAAAATATTGAACAAATCTCGATTTCCATTGTCGAGACTTGGCATTTTTGGGGTCCTGAAACTGGCCATGCCTCTACAGAAGCCTGAAATACTGATAATACTATAAAAGTTGGTGATGCAAGCTTTTAGGATTTCCTAATTTTTGACATTTCCTTTATCAACATATTTTCTGCAAAGCTACCAATTTTTTTACAGTAGTAGTGCGGCAGATATGAGTTAAGTCTTGACGATCCCTGGTTTGATGTTTGATGGCATGCTGCCGGAGCAGGGCAAGTCGACAAATGAATGTAATGCAGACAACTGCAACCTGTTGTGGAGTGTTGCTGGCGAACTAGTCATGCTGGTTTTTGAATGCATCATGTCGTCTCGTCAGGTCAAAACAGTCAGAGGTCAAACGGGCAATCATGCCCAATGTTATGATGACGATGGAAAGGGAGAAAAGATCTAAGAACAAGAATAGAGAACCTGGAAAAGTGAAGTGAAGAAAACAGTGAGCCTAAGAATTTCTCAAGTTAAGGATCATCTTAGCATTGGCCATGAAAGTGAACTTTCAATGCAAATGTGAATTGAGATATGTCAGGGCAGGACAACCAGAGGGGAACACTAGGCTGCGAGATCCCGAAGTACATGGATTGTGTATTTGTTTTATGTGATGTTTTGAACCGACTACTACCATGATATTTGTAGTGCGGTAAAACCTGGGGTAAGCGACCTCTGGGTTTACTTGTGGGGTGTTCCCACGGCGGATGCGGAAAACTCGGCTTCCAGCCGAGTGTCACACGAACCGTGAAATTTTTTTAACCTTCTTTTAATGAGCCAGTAGGAAATGTAAAATCGAAGAAGGAAACAGATGGGAACGAGTTCTGAAGCAACTATCCACGAATGTAACAAGATCATAAGCGGTGAATATGTGCGATAACAGGGCACAAAACTGACAGGCTACTGATTATACCGCTTGCATGTCTTTATTTCTATACATTCCCTCATAATAAATTGTGTCTTTCCCCCAAACCAGTGAATATCATATCATTTCCTTCATCTTTCGATGAGAACCGGGCCTATGGGACGGGGAGAAGGCCATCATGCCTGTGCATTTGGTGCTGCACCGACTCAAATAGCCATCACTCAGCAGCCGCCGTACCCTCTCCCATATCCTTCTTGCACATAGCCTGCATCATAGATATGCACCACCACGCCTTCTTGCAATTCACTTACCCCGAATACAACCCATTCACACGCTCAGGTTCCCCCGAACCTTTGAGCTACCCACAACACGTACAAACCGGCTAAGAGACTCCCCCATCTATGCTTCTCTTGATCTCTTTAATAGCATTCCACTCAGCCACCGGCAAATCAACCCCAGACGAGATTTCAAAGCAAACATCCTACCACTTGTCATCTCTTCCGTATGTACTTGCTCACATTGCTCAGCACATCTATAGCTCCATTGCGCCCAGCCTACGTGATAAACTCCCAATTAGTATCGCCATCGCTACTGCCTCAGCAGACAGCTAAACTTTGATCTCTCTGTATCTGATCCCCGTGCCTGAAATTATTTTTCTCTTATTGGCCACAGGCCATGGTGAGAATAAAAGATTTCAAAACAACAACAACAACAGCAACAACAACAACAACAACAATAACAACAACAACAACAACAACGCTTACGTAGCACAAAAACACAAACACCTCGGAATAATCTTTCAGCATGACCTCCGTTGGACGGAGCATGTTGAATACGTAGTCAAAAAATCACTCAAGTCTTTCAATATTCTTTTTAGACTAACGTCTACACTCACCAGTGATTCTTTATCTCACATCTATCAGACATACATACTACCTATATTCTCATATGCGAGCAATGCTCTCACACCGTTGTCCCACACTTCCCTTGACAGGCTAGAACGACTCCAGCGAAAAGCCGCCAGAATATGTCTCCACCTTCCCCCTTACACACACTTAGAACACTCCCACCTTTTGCATCGCATCAAATGGCCAACATTATTTTCACGCTTTAAAGTTAAACATATACTCTTCGCGCATTCTCTGCGCCACAATTATGCCCCACCACATATACTCTCGCTGCATACTACTAGCAACGTGCAACCTTCGTATAATTTACGTCGCTCTCGTACTTGGCACTTGCCAACTCCGCGGACTGACCGCTGTCTCCATTCTCCCCTGTACAAGGCCCTTCATTACTTTAATTGCCTGTCCACCCAGCTTCACGAAATCCCTTCTCGTACTCCCTTCAAATCCGAGATATCCCTGCTGTTGCACAACTCTGTATGCTCGTGTAGCGACCACCCCTGCCCGTACACTTAAGTACGCAACTCTGTATGCTCGTGTGGCGACCACCCCTGCCCGTACACTTAAGTAGTCATTAACCCCTAGGCCCTGCCCACCCAATTCTTCCTCACTTTTTCTCCTTTCTTACACTATTATCTCTTATTGGCCACTGGCTATCGTGAGAATAAAGATTTGAAACAACAACAACAACGTTGCATATTCAGCAAAATGGACGAGCTACTTACCTTTACCCGTTCGTGCTCTGAATCTCAGAACAAACTATCAGTCATTGCAGTCCAGGAAACCTGGGCTGACACATCAGACCCTGACAGTCTCTATGCAATCCCAGGCTACAAGCTGATCAGAGCTGACAGACAGGACTTTGGTGGTGGTGTTGCCTTGTACATAGCGGAACGTTTCAACACAAGGGTACTGACAATATCAATGACAGCAGCAGAATGCATATGGACGAGAATTTCCACCGGTAACCTTTCCCTCAGAATTACAGATGGAGCGGACTCGCTCCCTTCTATTTACACTGCAACGTTCGAACACATTTTCGTAGTTAAAACAACGTTTCGGCATATAGCCCTCATCAGGTTTGCAATGATGTGCACTCTACAAAGGAGCAGCAAATATACTGTGCTGTGCTGTGTTTGCGCCAAATGTGTCAGCTACAAAGGTGGCGAAAGGGATTGGTGATATATTAATATCCAGATACGATATATTCACAGTAGTGCCCAGCCAGCATTAGTGTTTACTTGCGGCCGCAAGTTGCGGATTTCAACAGCTTCACACTATCCGCAGCAGCTATACTCTCGCCAGAATGTTTGTCGCGCACGTGGTCACCCCATGGCTTATCGAGAGTGCGACGGCGTGCCTCGCCATTGTGCTCCTGAATTCTTGTTTCCAAGGAGCGTTCCGTCTCCCCTACATACGTTTCCCGGCACCATTTGCATTGCAATTCGTAGACTACATTCTTTGTCATACATACTCGTTCGCCTCCAGACTGACAGGTAATGCAAGGCCCTAGTGGACGTCCTTTTCGTCTTTTTTCAGTAATGTTGGGCTCGTTTACGCACTTGGGTGGTAACAGCGCCGAACGGCACAGTTGACACCTGAGGCTGCCCGAGTGCTCGTATACGACACGTACCGGCAACTTGTATTTCCGTATTGCTTTGTTCACATGGTGGTGTACTTCATCGGACTTGAACGGTAGTTTAAGGAAGGCAGAGCGGGGATTACCGCGTCGTCTACGCCGAGGTTTCTTGGCAGCTTCCCTTGCTTCCGATATGATACTGTCTGGGTAGTTATTTATGCGCAGTTGTTTGTGTATTTTTTGTTCGCTCTCGGCTTGCATCATGGGGTTAGACGATAGTCGCTGTGCCCTTAGGAATTGAGATTGAGCGACGGCTAACTTGATGTGGTGAGGAACTGCCGATGAATAATCTACCAGTAGGCCACTACTGCATGCCTTCTGGAACAATTTGAATGACAGCTCTCCGGTTTGCCCAACCGCGAACGTGACGTCCATGTAGTCTATGCAGCCACTGTCACAACTTAATTCATGCGTGAATTTGATACGTTCGTGGCTGGCGTTGAATCTTTCTATGAGCTGCAGAAGGCGCTGCCTACCATGTGTCCATAGGATGATGATATCGTCGATGTATCGTCTGAACAGAATAGGTTGGAAGGGTGAGTCCTGAAGAAGTCGTGTCTCAATGGTGTGCATAAACAGGATGGCAAATGGAGGTGCCAGGTTGTTCCCCATAGCAACCCCATCTAGCTGGTGGTAGATCTGTCTGCCAAATCTGAAGTAGTTATGACTCAGAACAAACTTCAGTAGTGTCCTGACTTGGGTCACGCTCAGCCCGAGCATATCAACTCTGTTATGGTGTTGCTCTAGCACGTCATTAACGGCATTGGGGGTGCAAACTCCAGAGGAGCCAGTGCCAGTTGTCGTTTCTTCTTCAATGCCGGCGGGAGTGTATCATCCCACGGTTCATCATGCAATCGGTTCGGCCACCTCCAGCCTCAAGGCACCAGAGTGTTCGACAGCAAAGACGCTTCCAGTACTGTCTCCGACTTCTGAGCGACGCAATACAGGACAAGTGCCCAGAAAGGGACTTCCGTACAAGACAATGCCGGTACTTCTGCGAACAGCTTTGGTCGTTTTCCAGGGAGGATTACGTGCGTATTCGCGCCCTGCGGCGCTGTGTGGTTACGGAGGAGCGCATCCGTACCAATGCAAGGCTTCGATGGAAGCTGTCTAGGCTTCAAGCCCAAGAAGATGCCAGGGAAGCGCATGAGGCATGTTTGCCCGCGTCGTCCTACCAGAGTGGGACAGCCCTGGGTAGTCCCGGCCGGACGGGAATGGAGCATTCTCGGCGAACGCTTGTCATGGACTCGTGTGTAACAGACAATGCCAGACGGGTATTGGAACTGGGACCCGGTTTTGTACCGTCCACGGGCAAGTTAACCAGTCGTGAGAAATCAGAAGTGGTCACCTCCGTAGAACGGATGGCCTACACTTTGAGATGGCAGCAGGCGCGGCCTCAGGGTGTGGACCAGCCAGAGGACGACCACGATACCGGCACCGAGTGTGAT